TGTGTGTGTGTGTGTGTGTATGTTGTTAGATCTCCTGAACTACGATCAAACCTCTTGGGTACTAACATTACAGAACGTTTATGACAATTCTGTTTCTCATTTGGTCATTCCCAGATGTACTACAGCACAACAGTATACAAATACGGACCATTGGTTCATATTAATAAATCGTTGAAACAAATAATTACTGTCAATATACTTAATACGTATTATAAGAAAGTTCTTTAACACTCACTGCATCATGAACTGCTTGACAGGCCGCGAACCTCATTTGATTTCTTGCAGTTGGATATCTGCCCTGACTGACTGAACACGTGTTGCGTCTGACTGCTTGTCCTCGGAAACATGGACTCCCTAGTTTCCGGCAGAGTACCTGTGTCGCCAGTGTCCGCCCGCGTCACTCTCGCGTCACGCGCGCTTCCTCTTACACACTGCTCTGTTCAAATCAGTAACTAGTCTCGTTTCTCTCCGCCTTCCAGTCTTCCAGGATGGGCCGTGTCTACTATTTTAAAGGACGTTAAAATATGAATACTCCTCTAAACCAAAGTCCTTAGTTAAAAAGATTTTTTATGTAATAATTGTGTTTCTGGAGCATGTACTCTCTTGGCTCGCTTGGAAACCGGGATCGTGGGTTCGAATCCCACTCAGGGAAGGGATGTTTATTTTGTGTGTGTGTGCGTTTTTCTGTGTTTTTGTATAGGTAGAGGCCTTGCGACGAGCTGATCACCCGCCCAAGGAGTCCTACCGAATGTGTAAGATATAGAAAAACCGAAGTGAACGGAGAAGTTCATGGAGGTAGGCCTAGGCCCACTGGGGCTGTAGTGCCAAGGAAAAAAAAATGTGGATATGTAGGGAGAGTAGAGGTACAGCTCCATACATTCTTAGGCTGTTTAATAAGTACTGCTGATTTCATATAAACTTTTATTTATTCAATATATGGATGAGTCCCAGTACCGGTATGGGCAACTTGGGGAGGAGAAAAATTTTGACCCTACAGGGAACTCGAACTCCGACCCCTCACTCTTCTATCTCGTAGCCAGTTGCCATACCTACTGCACTGTATGATTTAAAATGTAATGCACGCCTAAATACGCAGAAATGAATAGACAAAATAAAAATATAAAAAATCAGGCAACAGCTGTTAACTTATTAGAATTAGGATTAGGTAAAGAGCATTTCTTTTGAAAACGTGAACGAACTCACTGGTGCATACTAGTAGGAAAACTGGCACATGTGCTGGTGGGGGGGTCTCAAGTGGCAATTGGGTGTGCTTCACAATGCAGTGCACGGAAGTTTCAACACGTATCATCCGTCGAAGTCTCGGTCTTATCGAATTTACAAACAAATATAATTATCGGTTTAGTCTGGATTCATCTGGCTCTTGATAGGGATCGGTGGAGGGCTCTTGTGATCCTTCAGGTTCCATGAAATGTTGGAAAATTCTTGAGTAGCTGCGCAAATGGTGGCTTCACAAGAATGGTCCAGCCAAATGGGGATAACTGGTTATTTAGTTAGCTATTCAATATCGATTTATAGCTTACATAAAGAAGTCCACGTATGGCCTTAAAAGAGTAAAATTTATTGAGGGTTAATTTGCTTCAGAAATTAGTGATTTCCTAAAACTTTCAGCGAAAAACTCGACGTCGAATTTCAAAAGCTTGTATTTAACAAATTAGGCACCGATACCGATTGTAGTTCTGAAATTAAATAAAAGACGTGACGTTCACAGAAGGCGTTCTTTTCCAGTTACTTATGAGCAGGGCCCGGATTTTGATGACCTGAAATTATTTAAAAAATGATCTATAAAATGACCGAAAAAATCCAGAAAAATGACCTAAAGTATGACCCAGAAATATAATATGCAGGGCCCGGATTTTGATGACCTGGAAATATTTAAAAATGACCTATAAGATGACCGAAAAAATCCAGAAAAATGACCTAAACACTTCGCTTCAGATTATACACATTTCAAAAAACATATGAAGAAAAATTCCCTAAAATGGCCAAAAATGACAAGAAATACCCTTAAAAGTAAAACAAAAATACCAACAAATTACCCCCAAAATGAAAAAATGACCATAGACTAAAAATGTCATAAAGTAACAAAAAAATTACCTATAAAATTTACATTTTTGTAACCAGCAGCTTATATCCGAGATTTATATATTTAAGAGCATCGCATAGGATACAAGGAAAAAAAGATGACATGTCATCAAAATCCGGGCCCTGCTTATAAGACAGATGAAGAAGGGAATTCTGGAATAATCTGCGAAATGAGTTGCTTCAGAATGTGTCCTTAGTAATTCTTAGGATGATAAGACATCAAGGTAATGCGATGGGGACGCAATGCAGAACGCATGGGAGAGAAGAGAAATGCATTTAAATTTACTGCAGAAAATCCTGAAGGAAAGGAACTACTTGGAGGACCTAGGTACGTATAAGTAATTAACTTCGTCGAACTGATCCCTTCTTGAGAAACTGCAAGTTATCCAGCTACTCGGGAACTTCCTAGCATTTTATGGAACCCGATACCGTGGTAAGAAGGGGCCACCACTGGACCCTATCCTGAGGCGTAACAATCCAGTTCACACCATCTCATCCTATCTCTCTAAGATCCATTTTAATATTTTCAACCCATTTACGCCTTTGTCTTACAAGTGGTATCTTTTCTTCTGGCTTTACTATCAAAATCATATAAGAAATAGTCTTCTCTACCATGCCTTCTGTATGCCATGCCCATCTAATTGTCTTTGACTTGATCATTCTAATTGTACTTGGAAAAGACTACGAGTCATGAAGCTCCTCATTATGCAGTTTTCTCCAACTCCTGTCACTTCATCTCTCTTGGGTCAAAATATTCTCCTCAGCACCCTGTTCTCAAGCACCCTCAGTCTGTGTTCCTCCCTTAGTGTCAGAGACCAAGTTGTACGATGGGAAAATAATATTAAAATGAATCATAGATAATCAAGATGAGAGGATGTGGGATGGATGCATCTGGCTCAGAATAAAGGAGAATAGTGAGTTCTTTTGTGAACAAGGTAATGAACCTGCTTCCATAAAACGCTCTGAAATTTTTGACTAGCTGTCCAACTATTGGCTTCTCAACCTGGACTCTGTTGAATGGAATCATCATCATCATCAGTAATCTGTCAGACGACAGGTCCACAGTCTCACAATTCCTCCACTTAATGCGATCTAGAGCTTTCTCCTTCAAATGACAGTATCCTCTTCTGTCCCCAAGGTCATCCAGCATCTTCTTACGTCTTCTTCCTCGTCTTCTTGTCACTTCTATCCGCCCCTCTATCTTTCCTTCAATAACTTCTTTTAGAAGGCAGTTTCGGCGTAATGGAATCATTCAGTATAAAATAAGATGCTACAAACTTATCAGTAACAAGAATTGAAAGTGATTCAGGAGTGCTTATGTATCTCTACATCCTTTCTTTACACGCCATTATTGTTCGGTAATTCCAAAACAGAAACTGAATTGACGTCCATACGATAGGTTGCTGGACGCAGTATCTGGGCTTGAGACATATGAAATACAAAGTTATCACAAATGAAAACATCGCATTTAGTGCGAACAGGAGAAATAAGAGCGAAGCACAAATTGTTACCAAGAGAAATGAATGGAAGAGACCATTTGGGAAAACAAGTTGTAGATGGGAGAGCAACAATGAGACAATCTTAAAGGAATACGGCCCAAAGTTATTCCTGTGGATTGGATTCAGCTTGGCTAAGATAAAATATGATTAGGGGATTTTCTCAGCGCGGAAAATACATTTCAGTGATCCTTAAAAGAAGGGGTTACTCAGTTTTAAGTTTTCCTGAAGAAGGTGTATTTAAATCATGCATTACGCCCAACAGTAAATTATGAAGTACGCACTAATCTCAAATATTTTTAATATAGTGAAAAAGAAAACAATTACTAATATGTAATTAAATCCAGACGGGCATCAATGAATTAACAACTTCTATGGCAATTAACTTGAAGAATTGTAACCCATTTCCAAAATTGTAAGGTAAAGGGTAAAATTGTCCCCATACTTAATTAAGCGCCACACCATAAAGAAGTTTTGAGGAAGTGAAGGTGCCTGTCTATGGCTCTACAGCCCTTTGCTGGGCCTCGGTCGCTTTTCAGTTTATTGATCGTTTACACAGTCGGTAAGGCTCCTTGGACGGGGGATCAGCCCGTCGCAAGGCCGCTAATTGCACACACAGGGCAACATACGTAAAGACAGAAAAACGCACATTGACGTTCATGCCTCAAGTGGGATTCGAACCCAATATCCCAGTGATGATCCCAGGTGGCATGATATACATACCAATTCTCAGGATGCCCGGTTCAGGCATTCGAGGAATATTTTCGGTGCTACCTTAACAATATGAGGTGCTATAGTGTTGGTATCGCTGGTGGGAGGGTTTTATGATACACGCCATTGAGACTGTTTCATGTGAGAACAGACACTTCTGAAACTTCACAAAGTTTGGTTTAGCAATTCAGAACTTAAAGACGATTACAGTAGCCGCGAGGTCTAAGGCATGAACTGTCTTCGGTGGCTCGGACGCTTGAACCGTGGGTTCGAATCCCATTCAAGACATGGATGTCCGTGTGTGCATTTATTCTGTCTTTGCGTTGTCTTGTGTTTAGGCAACGGTCTTGCTACGGGCTGATAACTCACCCAAGGAGTCCTACAATCTGTGAAAAATTATTTTTTTTCCTTGGCACTACAGCCCCAGTGGGCCTAGGCCTACCTCCATGAACTTCTCCGTTCACTTCGATTTTTCTAGATCTTACACATTCGGTAGGACTCCTTGGGCGGGTGATCAGCTCGTCGCAAGGCCTCTACCTGTACACAAACACAGAAAAACGCACACAAACATCCACGCCCTGAGTGGGATTCGAACCCACGATCTCGGCTTCCGAGCGAGCGAAGACAGTGCATTCCTTAGACCGCTCGGCTACCGTGACCGGCGTGAAAAATGATCACGGAACTGAATAAGGGGCCAGGGCCCTGAAGGGGCCAGAAGAGCCATGGAAAAAAAAATAAAAACTTAATGGGGCAGTACACAGGATATTTACCTCATAAGCCTATTTTTATTATTAAAAGTAAGGAAATTTTGATAAATTCTCAGTCATTTGCCATCTACGTACGTAGTTTACATTCATAAAGCATGACAATTAGTTGATACTGTAATCTTAAACTGCGTAACTGTAAACCTCACGCTTGCATGACTCTTTTACAAATGGAGAAGCATATTTGTCTTTCGGTTTCAATTTTTCCAGCATATTCTAAAGAGGGAGCAGATGCCTGCCCTTCGCCTGCTCCCATGCGTGGCGGCACCTACTCGCTGGGTTCTCTTAAGAGCATACC